CCAACAGGATTGTCTCAATATTCTAATGGTTTCATTGTCCCAGTCTTACCTGTTTCAGGTAATTCTACAGGATTGTCCCAATCTGGTGGTGGTGTGTCACTATCAGGAGATCTATTTTTTCTAATCAACATATGCGGACTGATGTCACAGCTTCTACTCTTGGAAGATTCTCCTACATCTTTGTCTTTGTGGCTGCTACGGTGTCGAGATTTTTCTTGCTAGAATGTTACAAAGATTTACAATATAACATTACAAGTCAATAATTTCAATGATATTAAAAACAAATCAATGTGCATGCCTGCCATAATGACAGGTTTGTGTACCAATTTTCAACGAAACAGGTCCAGGCATGACCAAGAAACTCAAAAATCCCAAAAGTAACAAGCCTCATTTTGTATTATTGGTAATTGATCTCAATGTTCAACACAAGTTGCATGTAGAGATACATGTACATGTCTACCATACATTATCTGTGTGTCAGCATTGCATAGAATCAGTGCATGTACATATACATGTACATGTCTACCATGCATTAGAGTTATGTAAATGGGTCTCTAGGTGGTAGGGTAATTAAGCGTCTCAGTTTTCACGAAGATACAAGTTGAGCGTACGCTCACTTTCAAAAGTAAGTGTGAAGCCAAACAATGGAAAGCTTGAGTGTGCTTACTTTTAAAAGTAATTGTGGGAAGAAACCATGAAATACTGTTAATGTAATGAAAGCTACGCTCAGTTTAACATATCGTTGATACAAGTTCGTTTCAGAGGTCCAATCCAATCTGGATTCACATGAGTGTGACGTGACGCAGCCATATTTTATTAAATATTCACGCAGTTTGACCCCTATGACCTTGTAAGATGGACACGTAAGGTAATGAGGGAGTATGCTCACTTTTATGTGTAATAGTAGGTATGGGACCAACAATGGAATGTGAAGTGTGCGTGTCTGATTTCAAGTAATCATAAATCGCTAGTGTATATATGAAGTTTTTGAGAGTACCAGTACTATTTTAATTTACGCAAGATAAATGCCGGGATCGACCACAATTATATTTAATAGTAATAAAGATGCAACTCTGACGTTTGTTTTTTCTTAAGTGTTTTCATTTGTCGGCGTCTGTAAACAACGCTAAGTGACAACGAGTTGTTGCTCACACTTGCATGAAGTGAAAGTGTGCACACATACAAGAATGACGTTTTTAATGAAATGTACATTCCTATTTTGCTCATATGTTCGGGTCAACTTTCATAGATTTACACTACAGCAATGGCAGTGCAGTGAACGTCACGACATTTATGCCAATACGTTTGAAGTGCGTGAATCATTCCGTGATCGTACAGTTACGAATCATTTGGCTTCGATTAGCTGACCCTCATAAAAATATAACTTTACACATTTGATCGAAACTACATTGGTAAGCCATATACATATATGCTGTTTTTCTGTTACTTTGCATTACGCTGCTTCTCTTAAAAATATGTTTGAAAACAGTTGTATAATCATTGAGCGTCGTTATAGATGCCGACAAATAAAAACAATCGGGTCAAAACTAACGTAAGCATTGCATCTAAATTACTATATTGTATTCGATGGTCGACCCCGGCACTAAAAACTCTATGCATAGAATGACGACTAAAGTGTGCATTAAATAATTCTAGTTTCTTGTAATGAGTCACGCATGTACTCCCCAATCTGTGTAATTCCATTGTTTTTCCCATGCCAACTTTTACAAGTGA